TATAAGTATCTCGTCTGCCAGCTGAGTTTCCTGCCACACACAGCTGCATTGTACGATACTCTCGTCGTGCTCGTTGTCGTGGCGATGTGGATACCGCACCACACCTGCTCCGCACTCAGCTGAACTCTTATCGTTGTGTTAATGAAGAGGATGTTTTGCATGTATTCATCTTTTTGCAGAGAAAATTGAGGCCATGAAAACATTTTTGTTAGAATCCATGTGTGTGGAAGCTCATTAACAAAACCAAATGTTTGCTATCAATTACTGCCTGCCATTCACAGTTCAGGAATATGATTTAAACTTCTTAGTCACTCAGTAGGTGTTAACACTCGTTGAAGTCAAAAATTGTCCAGAAAGTTTGTCCCAACAGCAGAAGTTTTGTTGATTCATTTGTTCATTAGCTGTACTACTCTGCCTTTGAAGAGTTAGGAGGGTTTCAGCCAGTCCCAGCTGACTGGGCGACAGGCGGGGAACAGCGTGGACAAACCGTCAGTCTATCACAGCGTTGACCTATAGAAAGAAACAGCCTTGCTAGCTTTTACACATACAGACAGTTTACAGTTGCCAATAAAGCAAACCTGTGGGAGGAACCTCACCAGTACAGGAAGAACATGTAACCTCCATAGATAGAGGCCCTGGCCCTGAAACTGGAACCGATGTGCCTTTGTTTTGATTTGTTTTGGTGCAATTTAAAGTTATTTACTGGAAATATGCCTTCAATAAAATCTAGATAAATGTGGGTGTTGAAAATCTTTGACCAGGGTCCTTCCTGTTTGGAGAGATTGTAACTTGCCAACTTTCTGTGTGTAGATTTTTTTAACATGTGTTCTTTCTGTATGTCTTTTGTGGTATCAAGAAAGCTGAATTTAAAAACACAGTTTGGGGTGGTCTTCCTATAGAATTGACTTAAATGTAAATGTTTAATGTTGACTCGAAAGGCTGTTCACAGCTTCTTTTAGTTTACATCCTTTAAACTTCTCAGAGCTCTATCTAATACTAGCTCACTGAAGTGTTCAAGATTGTTTGTCTTCTTGATTTGTAGAACTCTCGCTGCAGAATCTTATCAGTTTGTGCCTCAACTATTTTTAGTAACTTTATTTGTGTAAAATCCGACTATTTCATCATCCACTCAGAAGGATGAAGAAACAAATTGAATAAAACTATATCAGCAGTTGTTTATAACAAAATGCTGTAGAAATGGTGATAGGTTTTTGACAAGCTAAGCTTTTTTCACCTCGGGAGTTGTTAACACTTAAAAATGTTTACATGAAGTGTTGCACTCAGGCAGTGGTCCAACTGTTAAAATAACTGCATTGGGGTGGTCGGATGTACCATCTAGAATACCCTCTACTTTAGAAAGTCAAACTGATTTCTGTCTGAGAAATGAGTAAATGTTTCGCTCCTGTTTAAGTTTTGGAAAGAAGCTCCCCTTTCCTTTTTTAAAACTCTATAATACCACTTAATGTGTGCCACAGAACATGTGCTGCTTATTGCATGTTAGGGATACCCTGGTGTGCATGTGTGCATGTTCGTGTGGGAGCAGATAACATCTTGGGCATGGAGGCGCCTGCTGGGCAGTGGTCTTTCTCTCCGCTTTCCTCAAGGCTAAATACAGGAAATGAGTGCTAGGAAGCGAGCCAGATTGACTGAGCCGAGTGTGCATGAGCGACAATTGTAGCCTTGGAGGTTCTGGTCTCTTTTGCGTGCACTTTGCTCACTCAAGACGTCCTCTGGGGAAGCTCTTCAAAGATTTAGTGCCACTCCTTTCCTCCTCACTCTCAGATCAAAGAATAATCATATAACCTGCCTCTTTATTTTTCCAATCACCGAACAACCAAAGGGTTTTATGAGGCGTGAAGAGAAAGAGTTGCGTGCAAACTGGAGGCAACTTGTGATCAGAAGAATAGAGAGACCTCCTCTCGGTTTTGGCTTTGTTCAATGCTACAGCCACATAACTTTTTTAATTTTGAAAAAACACATCAACTCTGCTACATCCACACTAGCCGCTAACACTGAGAAGTTTGGAAACACTGCTGGCCCCGTATTAGAAAACTCTAGCCTTTGAGTCTAGACAGGTAGAAACTGAGATGTTTGGAAACAATGAGATAGATCCTCATAACCGCTCGCTAATTTAGTCTTTTCGGTCCACTCCTATCACATGAGCCTATTCTGGACTAAATCAACCAGCAGTATAGAACGCAACATGGATAATCAATTACAAACATTGTTGACTCTTTTATCTTTGCTAACATCTGTTGCGCAACGTTACAACTGTTTACATGTGTTGAAGACGAACAATTATTCGAGCAATCTGCACCAACCATGTATGTGTGCCCAATGTACGTGAGTGATCATGGGATATGCATTTTCAGGACAGGGATGAGTCATGTTCACTTCCCTCAGAGGGTTAAATGGCAGAATGGATTTTTTGTGACCTAGTCAAATATGGGGTCGTCTAAACTTTGACTCCACCACACTGTCACCAGGCATTGTTCTGTGACATTACCCAGAAAGGAAAATAAATCCTCTGCTGTCACTGCGAGCTGTATTTATGTGTTTGTATGCACATCCACTGTTTTTCCCTTTGCTCTCTCTCTGCTCACTTGTGTCCTAGAGGTGCTTGTAAAAGTTGTAAATTCCTTGCACAGCTGGTGCCGGCTGTTAGCATTCCTCATGTGCATGTGTGTGTGAGAGTCTGAAGTTGTGTCTGCAGTGCCGCCACAGCACCGGGCCAAGTGAAGCCAATTACCTTGGCATCAGATGTCTGACAGAATCTCTGTTTAGGACCATCAAAGAACAGCTGCCATGTCAGATGATGGGGAAATGGTAGAATAGCATTTCAGCCATCATACAGTTGTATGTGTCAAATGTTTTCTAATTCGGTCTGGCTTTATAGGCTCTTAAAACTGCTAATGACCTCTTTAGCCTCTTAAAGTGACAGCTTTTATGCAGAGCTTAGCCTTATGACCTGTATGCCAGTTTGAAACCCATCTATGCCAGATATCTCGATAGCTTGTCAATTAGAAGTCCAATTAGTCTGTTTGACATTGGTCCAATTCTTGAGCCGGGACTGGACTTTAGCAGGATACATTTTTTACATGGACCAAAGCCAGTGATGAGACCGGATAGAAAAAAAATTGGACCAAGACCAGCACACCACAACTGACACACAGATTCATTCTGCCCTGATACATTATTGTAGGCTTAGTGTACATTGATATTGACAGTTTTTTAATATATATATATATATATATATATATATATATATTTCTATATATTGATCAAACAGACAGGGGTGTAAACATAATCTCCTTGGTGGTGGTACATGTCAAACAGCAGAGAAGATCTTGTTTATTCACAGCGGTATTGCTGACTCAAGATCAAGGTTTTGGCAAAATGCGTCTGTTGTTTTTTTTATTCCTCCACCACTTCCTGTTGCTGTTTCTGCTTATATTGTTATTCTGGCATCTATCATGGACATGCTGAGCAAGACCACTGATTTGTAGTGTTGCAAACACACACACACACACACACATACACACACACATATATATTCTTATTGGTTTGTACACAGTAGTTAAAATGTGTCTTCATGTCTTCTCTGTACTTTTGTTTTGTTTTATTGCTCTGTTTGTTTTGTGCAGGCTTTGGAGGAGGCCCAGATTGCCATCCAACAATTGTTTGGCAAAATCAAAGACATCAAGGACAAGGCAGAGAAGTCCGAACAAATGGTGTGTACACACACACACACACACACACACACACACACACACACACACACACACACACACAGACACACACAGACACACAGACAGAGTGGCTTGTTGAAGCTTATCAGGGACATGACCCCATGTCCTGTTGGAGATACAACCTGTATCCTCCTGGTGTTACAATAGAGGACGGTGGGGAGAGTTATTTAAAGTCAAGGTAATGCACCTTCCATGTGTCTCTGTTAGCAGCAGGACTATGTGTGTGCTAGTGAGAGTCAGAGAAAGTGTGACGAGAGGATAAGGTGGGAGATTATTTCTCAAACCAGCAGTTGTGTTCCTCTTTTTATCCTTTTGCTCCATCCAATGAGGAACTTTCCGATATTATTTCACCCCCCCTCCCCCCATGCTTGTTCTTTGTGTTTCTCCGTAGACTAGCCTGTTTGACTTGTTTCTCTCCCTGCACAGGTTAAGGAGATTACGCGCGACATAAAGCAGTTGGACCATGCCAAGCGCCACCTAACTACATCCATCACCACCCTCAACCACCTGCACATGTTGGCAGGGGGCGTGGACTCTTTGGAGTGGGTATAATCACGTTTCACACCAAAAGACTCCCACAGTTTACCCCTTAAGCTTATTTGACTGAAGTAGTAGTTGTGAGATGTATATTTTTTTTTAGGTCAAAGTTGTAGTTGCTACAAGTACAAGACAGATCTACTATTATTATGTAAAGTGCCTTGAGATAATGTATGTTGTGATTTGGCACTATCCAAATCTTTTTTAAAGGTGGTCTCTGTCATTTAAGAAATATCTTATCACACTGTTGTATCATCAAGTTCACGTTTCCATTAACTTTGGTTCTGATTAGTTATTTGATGCTATGAAAATGGTCGGGACCGACTTGCTAAATTACGTCACAGATGAAAGATGGCAACATTAGTATCCAGGATTTTTTTGTTTCATTTCTTGACAGTGGGAGGATTGGGGACAAGTTGTCCATCTTTATACACTATGTCTGATCAATTTTCAGTAAGGCTGATAGAATCAGTGGCCTGGTGAAGCTGCAGGAGAAAATCCTGTGTAGATCCCACAAGGGCCTCAAGCTTCCTAATCTCTAAGATTTATATTCTTCTGTTCCCTACATTTTTAAGTGAAGTCTGTTTGAGATTTGAGTAAGATACAGTTAGATGGATTCTTGACCAATATTGGTGCACATGTTTAGTCTAGTCCAGTCAGATTAATTTATGTAGCACATTAGGAGTTTTAGTAAATCATGGCAAAGGAAAGTAACAAAAGCATAGATAAAAAAAGAATGTACTATGTTAGAAATATAATGTGTGTTTTTGAGGGGGGATTACTCCCCAGAGAATATCAATATCAATGCTTTTTCTTTTATAAAATAATGCATATAATTCATATGCGTGTTTTTTCCCAGAGCCATGACCAGAAAGAGGCAGTATGGTGAAGTTGCCAACTTGCTGCAGGGAGTGGTCAATGTACTGGAACATTTCCACAAGTACATGGGCATTCCCCAGATCAGACAGCTTTCTGAGAGGTAACACACACACACACACACACACACACACACACACACACACACACACACACACAGAACCACACACACACACGTACACACACACACATACACGTACACACACACACACCAGTGATTAATGTGCTCACATAAGGTTATTTCTTCACATATCTTCCTCAACTATACTTACTTTGAGTTTAGTGCCTTGCTCAAGCTGATCTCTGTTGAGCAGCATAGCTGTAAGAGGAGCTCCGTGTCAGTAGCCAGTTCAGACCTCGACCTCTCCATACAGCTGAAATATTCCACTGCTCTTCCACTGAACTGTTGAAAAGTGGTTACAATATATTGTCCTGGAGGTATTTTGCGTATTACATCCTGTTTATGCAGATATTCACACACATGCACGCACAACCCCACACATACAGGAACCCAAAGGAAGGAAACACACTGAATAGGGTTGTGTTATGCCAGCATTTCTTCCATAGGCAGAGATTAGAGGCATAGTTTCTGAGGGTGTGTCTGTATCTCCATGTTTGTTCTTCTACTGGTGCATATGGGAGATGCATTTATTTCACTTCGCACTTGAGATTGCTGTGCATGTTAAATGGTCCATTTAAATTACCAGTATATTTAGGAAACACACACCCACAACAAAGCACATTATTATGCAGTTGTTTCTTTTTTTATTCTCCAAGACCACCAGAATCGGTTTGGGACATGTTGGCCAACTTGCCTTTCAGGTTCAAAGTGGTGTTGGTCCTCTAAAACAAGAAAGGATGACCTTCTGTTCTGTTTTGACTGAGGTGTGGCAGACAGAGTTCATACCAAACAACAGCTGCATGGAAGAAATGACTCTGCTGGAGAAACAGATGACAGGAGAGACACAGGGAAGGGAAAGATATGAAGGCAGGGCAGACAGCTGGACACAAACCGTTAATAGAAAAAACTCACTACTTCTCTGTGAGAGACCTGGACTGACCTGACTCATCAGAGTAAGACGGATAGGATCAGATGAGACAGATGCAAAGACGAGCAGTAGATCACACAATAATGGATATGAAGGGGTTGGGGCTAGGGACAGTAATAAGATCATATGCAGAAGAAAATTAAAGCAAAAGGCAAAACTAACTACACATTTGCAGTTGCTGTAAGTCACACAGTGACTTTTCCTGATCATTGCTTGATATGTTTCTCACCAGCATAACTACAACTCCACTGTTGCACAGAGAGATGCTGCTGGCTGTGTGTAGCTGCACCAATTACTCTGTGTACAGTACATGAGTGGACAAAATGCAGCCACTTATTAGTTTAGAGTTACATCTGCTGCTGACAGTTTGGTCTCATTCAGATAAAACAGCTGTAGACACTAGATGATTTAATAAGAAAAATCTGATCAATTTATCAAAGTGAGATGCAGCTGAAACAGGAGCTGCAGGTTAGGGTGTGTTTGGGATAAGAGATTCATACCCAGTGGTTCACAGAGAAAAGTGGATAGTTGGGTATTTAGTGAACAGTGAGTGTTTGTAATGACTGCTATCAGTTCAGGTGCATGGTATCCATCAGTGATACTATTCCTCCACCCTTGCATGTTTATTCTGGATGACTGGAATGACATTTGGTGTTGTGTTTGTTTAACCCATCCCACACGCCTACGAGTGACTCCAGTCCTCAGACTATCTGTAAACCTCATAATATACATGTTTCTCTTGTTGTGTCTCAAAACAGACTCTTCAGTCAATTCACTGGTGTATTGCATGAGTAGTTCTCCCAAATCAAACACAGCCATTGCACACTCACTGTCAAAGATGCACGCAACTTGTGACCCAAATTGTCACAGAGACTAGTCATCCAAAGCATTCAGAATTTAAAGTCTAGTGTATATTGAAAATAGGAAACAATGTAAAGTTCAGTGTTATTGTTTTTGTCCCATTTAGAGTGAAAGCAGCACAGAGTGAGTTGGGGACTCAGATACTGGCAGATTTTGAAGAAGCCTTCCCCTCCCAGGGCTCCAAGGTAAATAAATGTGTTGAACAAGAATCTAGATTTACTTGTTTGTTTTAGATTAAGATTTTTTTCACGACAAATTCCTTCCTTTGTCCTGTTTTATCTTTCGACTTTAAATCACAATCACATCCATCCAGAGAACAGGTGGTCCCAGTAATGTGCTGAGAGACGCCTGCCTGGTTGCCAACGTGCTGGACCCACGCATCAAACAAGAGATCATCAAAAAGTTCATCAGGCAGCACCTCTCAGAGTACCTGGTGCTCTTCCAGGAAAACCAAGATGTGAGTTAGAAATTGAATTCCATATATTAGTAGATCATAATTAGTTGCAGTAAATGTTTAATCAAAAAAGGTGATATCTAGATATTTATGATTATACCTGCTCGGTTGCTCAGGTTGCTTGGCTGGACAAGATCGATCGCCGCTATGCCTGGATCAAACGGCAGCTGGTGGACTATGAGGAGAAATATGGACGCATGTTTCCTGAAGAATGGTGCATGACTGAGCGGATTGCTGTGGAATTCTGCCACATCACCAGGTAAACACATTTACAGCATACAGGTTTAGGCTATAAATGATATGTTATATTATTATCTTTTTAATGAATATTGTATGGTTGTCTCTGTCTGAGAGAAAAGGAAATATACTTAAGAGAAATCAAATTAAACAGGATCTGAGAAATTGGACTTTTCTGCATCCTGAAGTGAACCACTCTGGTACAGTATGGAGTGCTTGGCATGACTCTGTGATTTGCTGCCACTTTCTGTGTAATTGACGTAGGTGGCCTGCATGAGCAATGTCCTAGTGCCCACATTTCTCAATCTTTTCCCCTGAGCTTCACAAGAAAAGAGAGTAGGTGGCATTTGTGTAATTCTCCAGGCTTCAGTTACCGAGGAAAGACCATCTAGTTGATTGTTGTGTCATTTGGAACCAGTCTGACGAGACATGTTTTTTACAAACAGTACTATTGATGTGGAACATTTTTGGATGTGAAAGGGTAGAAGTTTAAATGTGATAAAGTCAAATTGTGTCCATATTTATGTGTGTGTTTGTATGTTCCTCAGGGTGGAGCTAGCCAAAGTGATGCGGACACGAGCTAAAGAGATTGAGGTGAAACTGCTTCTGTTTGCCATTCAGAGGACCACAAACTTTGAGGGTTTACTGGCCAAACGCTTCACAGGATGCACCTTGACTGACATACCTGGAGTGAGAAACGCACACACGGAGACACACAAAACATGTCTAACAATAGGTCTATTTACTCTTCAATGGTAACCAGATGTTTCATTTTAGTTGCATTTTAATTGTGTCATATCAGCTTTGCCCGTGGCTTTGTTTATCCTTGCTATAACTTTGGGGATAATTATTGTATGACAAGGGAAAAGGACACTGTTAGCTAGTCTGATGTTTTTTCCTTCTACTGTTTGTATCAATTACTCATTATGGATCACAATTATTCATTGCCGTTTGCTGGGTAACATGGTAGGTTTTCATCAGCAAAGATGGTAAAGACTGCAACTTACGTGATTCTGCGCTGCTTCACGACGTGATCAAACTAGGTAGACCTGTAGCGTAACTTACTTATTGTAACTTCCCTGCAATATGAAATCACAGCTTCTTCCCCCCCAATAAAGAGTGTATAAACTAAATCTTACTTTGAGACCTCATCAATTTACATTCAGTTGTGCTTTCTGCTTTTAATTGCATTACTATGATACTTACACTAAACTGCTGATTTGTAGCATGTTTCATGTAAGTGACACTCACACAGGCTACTCTGGTGTCATAGCCTGAAGAAACCTTTCATCCCACTCATGTTGGCAAGTGTAGGTGGAAGCGATTCTCACAGGATGGACAGATGATTAGTTTTGCTGAGACACATTCTAGGCCAATCATGTTCGTAAACGATAACATTTTGACCAGACAGAGGCTCTTTTGTGTTGAGTTCAGTTTACACCCATGCCTGCTGGCCTCTGTGATTCAATCAGGGATTTGGTTGAGTGGGATTTTATAACTGGAGGTGCAGGTTCATCAAAGGTGGCCATGAAATGGTTTACAAAGACATGGAAAGTTGGCGATAAATCGATGAACATTGTTGATAATACTTAGTCAAACTCAAGAGTATTGCTACCATGGGATTCCTTAGTGGCAGTCTGGCTCTTTATAATTGAGCATTTCTGTGTTTTAACAGCAAAAGAGACCAGAAAGCCCTCTTGAACCTACTAACCCCTTCCTGGAGGACGAGCCAGGTGAGGATGTGGATCTAGCCAAGGTAAGATGATCTGCACTGACCCAACCTGACCTTTTTGCAACATAGAGACCATCATTTATCCTTAGATGTGGCACTTTCTTGAGTCCAGTTTCACTATAAGGTTACATGTCTCCCACACTAATTTGTCTTTGAAACAGACGCTGACCTTAAGCTCACAGAATAGAAAGCAAAACATTAACCCACTGTTAATGTTAAAAGATTTAAACTCAGCAGCTACAACTAGAGCCTGTTATTTCCCTAACAGCCCATTTTTCTATGCTCTCTCAGCCCAGGAAGCCCAAAGCTCCAGACAACCCTTTCCACGGCATTGTCTCCAAGTGTTTCGAACCTCATCTATATGTCTACATAGAGTCCCAGGACAAGTGAGCAACACACACTCATACAACCAGACAAGACCCGAGTTGTGTTGTCATACACAGAATCAGGAGCAGGTTGTGCATTAACCTGGATGGCACATTCTTTTTCCATTTCCTGCTCATCAATCAGATCCTCCTCCTCCCCTTCTACTTCATTGCCTCCACTGTCTTTCCATCTCTTGCTCCTTCACAAGCCTCTGTCTCCACTGTGGCAGAAATGTTTCCCATTAGCTGCATGACCACAGACCCTGAGAGAAAGAGAGAGGGGAAGGGTTGAAGATTATGTTTTGCAGTTGCAGATCTGCCTACTTTCATTCCCACCTCCTGAATTTTTTCTTTTTTTGTATCCCTTCTTTGGTCTCTATTTTACAGTGTAATCTTTGTTTTCGTTCCTCCTCTCCATCTCCAGTCTTTACCTTTCCCTCTCTTTTTCCATTTTCCTCCTGCCTATCTTTCATTTCTCCCTCCTCTCGTTCTCTACCACCTTCCTTCGCCTCCCCTCCATCGGTCCCTGCCCTCCCACAGTCATGGTGATCACTTCTGAAACTGAACACAGTCCTGGTTCTACTGTGCTTGCATGCACCCCCACCACCAAGCTCTTGGCTCGCTGGTGCGTAGAACACTGTTTGTCCGTCCAAGTGAACAGGATTGACCTATTGTGCAGCTACAACCTCATTTCACTCTGTCCAAAGGCCTGAAACAGGCAATGGCCAGATCAGCTCGTCCCTAGTGGGGCATAGCAGGAGAGAACAGTGGCCTGCTTGTTTTGTGTTTGGCTTCAGTTCCAATATTGAGTTGGATCGGACCACACCAACTAACCATGGACCTGTTGAATGTAATACTGAGGATTTTGATATGCTTGAAATATTTCCTCCTGTTTATCCATCTGGTTCAGTGTATTTATTGGGATTTCACAGCAATCATGTGTTTTAATGTTTAAATGTTTTGATTTCATTCATTTAATTCCTTTCATGTGCCCCTGATCCAACCACCCGTGTGTGTGCATGTGCGTGTGAACCTGTGTGGGTTTGGCTGTACATTTTACGGGAATCTACAGGAACCTAGGCGAGCTGATCGACCGTTTTGTGGCCGACTTCCGAGCACAAGGCCCACCCAAGGTGGGCGCGGAGGAAGGCGGAGCGGTTCTGCCCAGCTGTGCTGACCTCTTTGTCTATTACAAGAAGTGCATGGTGCAGTGCTCACAGCTGAGCACCGGAGAACCAATGATTGCCCTCACAACTATCTTCCAGAAATTCCTGAGGGAGTACGCCTGGAAGATCCTCTCTGGAAACCTACCAAAGTAAGAGCTGCTTGGGTTTAGTTATTTAAAAAAAAAGGTCCTATATTAGAATTCTCATGTAGGGGAAGTTGTACTCTTAATGTCGAACTAAGTTTTCACTTAGTTTTAGTTCTACAATAAGAAAAGGTTTTCCAAGAGATGATCAATGCAGAAACAAGAATGGTTTTTAGTAGCACCTATACCGAGGTCCAACATTCCCGTCAAATTCAGTCAAGCTGCTCCAAACTGCACGCACACTCATAGTTCCCTAAATATTTCTGATTTTTTTCATGAAGAGCCGTGAGTTTCCCCCGGGGAGAATAATGTCAAATGTCGAAAAACGCTTGCTCAAGTTCAAGAAAGTGATTAACATTTCCTGGATCTGCCCCTTTGTCCATATCTGTGCCAAACTAAATAAAAATGGGCTCTTTCTTGGCCCATTTCCCATCCATCCACCAAGTTTTGTGGAAATCTGTCTTGTAGATTTTGCATAATCAATTAATAATACATTGATTCTTATAGTATTCCATGTTGCCATAGACCTCAATATTTTTCTGAAAAGTATTGAATCAGTCCCACAAACTCAGTGCAGCTTATAAAAGTACACAATAGCATTCACTTGCTCTTTTGACATTTTCCATCAGAGAGAATCATTACTATTTCTGGGCGGTAACTCAAACACGGATTTATTTAGGACCAAGTTTTTACAAACAAGCATGGCACACCCTTATTTGTTCATTCCTCTGCTCTGGTAATGGGGCTGTTGAGGAGTTAAGTTTGAGACATAATGTATTTAATGCTGCTGGGTTTGATGGATTGGGATGGCACGCTAGAAGGGATCTGGAGCTGGTTATATTGTGGCGAAGCCTAATAGGCAACCAGCAAAAACATCTCTGGCTCATTGGCCACATTAGAACTCATCACTGGCTGTGGTGTATTCACACACACGCACACACATACGCATACACACAGAGGCGTGCTCTGTTTCTCTGTCAGATATGCATGCAGCTAATGACCACTTGCATTCACTGACTAATGTGTACCACATTCTAAGCTGTAAACAGACACTCAGTCGAAGATGCACTTCAATACTTCGCAAGTACTTACACTTTCAAATGCATGCGAACATGCTTGTTCAATATGGAGCGCTGGTGAATTGGGTGTGTGAGGTTTTGTGTGAGGCCCCTGGAAAGGAGCTTGTGGTTAAACCACGTCTCTGTTATAAGGTTTCATTAATGACTGGATCCTCATTGAAACCTAATTGGTTCAGCACCCTGATGCTCGCATCTTCTTGTGTATCGCTTTCTAAAAATGGTTTTCCTCATCTGTGGTTTAATTTTGTTAACGCTTAAAACGAACGGGGTCCACATCAGCCAGTGTTGGAAATAACAATACACAACATTGTGGAATTGATCTTAACTAAGGGTTTGCAGGCTTATGATACGATACTATTTGTGATATACTGCCCACAAAACACTGATATCACGATACAGCAATTCTCTGATAATAGATATACTGCAGTTATATGACAATATATCAGGACATCTGTCTAACTAAAGAAGAATACAAAATGCCCCCATATGATAGTAGACTCAGATTATTTCAGTTTTGTTCAGGTGATACATATAGAGACACATTTGTGTATATAAGGTACATAAATGTGTTGGTGTTAATAAACTGTACATTTAAAATATTTTGGCATTATTTACAGATCTGTTCTTATTATTTATTTCTTACGCAGCAAAGGGCTGGCTCGGAACTGAAATTGAGCCCTCTTGCAGCAGCTGCAGGATCTGACCTTTCTTTCCTTCCGTATATGGAACATGTTTCTCTCACTTATCCACTGCTGATTTTCTCATTCTCTTGTTGTGCCAGGTCCAGCAGTAACAGTGGCGGTCTAACTATCAGCAGTCTACTGAAGGAGAAAGAGTTCTCAGATGCTGCAAAGTTCACTGTAGATGAGCTCTGTCTGATCTGTAGCATCCTTAGCACTGCGGAGTACTGTTTGGCTACCACACAACAGGCATGTGCACACACACACACCCACACACACACACACACACACACACACACACACAGATGTATCGATCAAAGCAACTCAAAATTTGTGTCTATAATTTATTCAAATGGCAGTGACAGTTTATGTTTGGGAATATAAGAGGTAATATCATGATAGTAGTTAAATACTTCTGACTCATATTTCATCAGGGTTTTAAAGAATTAACTGTGACAGTTACAATTACAATTTTAAGTAAGTGTTGATAGAAAATAGATCAACACATAAAATATCAACAAAAACTTTTATTCATATCTATGTTTGTATGTTTTCCAGTTGGAAGAGAAGCTGAAGGAAAAAGTAGATAAAGTCCTGGTGGAGAGAATTAATTTGACTGGAGAGATGGATACATTCAGCACGTGAGTGACACTTACAGACAGCTACTTTTTCTCCCTCTAGTATGTGAAGAGTGTGTGGTAATTGTGTCCGTTATGTTTTTCAGTGTGATCTCAAACAGTATTCAGCTACTAGTTCAAGATCTGGATGCTGCCTGTGACCCTGCTCTCACTGCTATGAGCAAGGTTGGATCACTCACACACTCACACATTCAGCTCAGATAGTTCTTAAGATGTCGGAATCTAAGGCTAGATTTTGGTCCATTGGTCTGAGACCCCTTGTTTTCGGTTCAGACTATAGGGAGGTGTGAAAGCTCCCCAAGAAGATGCCACAACATTGCTTTTCTGTCAGTCTTCATTAAGAAAACTGAGAATTTCCACATCAAGAATGTCTTTGTTTTTTTATGGATCTACACATGAGCCTGACGATAAACAAATGTTTGTTATCTCTGATGCTAAAGCCTTTCTGTCCTTCATCTCTCCGCTCAGATGCCGTGGCAGAGTGTGGAGCACGTGGGTGACCAGAGTCCTTATGTGACGTCAATCATCATGCACATTAAACAAAATGTGCCAATCATCAGAGACAATCTGGCCTCCACCCGCAAATACTTCACACAGTTCTGCATCAAGTTCACAAAGTACTGCACATATATACACACTTTTCATACTGGAGTACTCTTGAAAACTATAATTGAAGGTTCCTGAATTTGATATATGTGTCACTTATTCCTCTCTTTAGTTCTTTCATTCCCAAATTCATCAACCACCTGTTTAGATGTAAGCCTATCAGCATGGTGGGAGCTGAGCAAGTAAGTTTAATTTATGTTTAACTGTACATGTATGTGCAATTTTGAGTGTTGCATCAGAAAATGAATGTATTACATTTGACATCAGCACTGCTATGCATGTTAAAATCTTGAATTTTGTCTCCCCCACCACCAGCTCCTCCTCGACACCCACTCCCTGAAGACTGTTTTGTTGGATCTTCCCTCCATAGGCTCCCAGGTGCTCCGCAAGGCACCCGCAAGCTACACCAAGATAGTGGTGAAAGGAATGACCAGAGCAGAGATGATACTAAAGGTGAGAGGAAGACATCAGAGATCATTTGACCTTTTACAGTATAAACACTGAAGGAACTTGCATCTTAAACTGATGGATTTTAAAAAGAAAGTTAGTTCAACTGTAAATTCAAACTACTTCAACTTTCAACAGCCCCATTACCAAAGCAGAGGAATGAACAAACACATTATCAGAACCTCTCCATCTTTATGGGACACTTCAGATTTTATGACACTTAACTTGGGTGGCTAAAATTCACTTCAGCCATTTTTTACAACCAGAGTTTCAGTCTCTGACCTTTAAAGGATCGGAGTTTTAAATAAACCCTTTTGCGTGAGTGAGTTTTCTTTATCTCTTGTTTGCCATTTAATGGATTTGATGTCAAAACTCTGACATATGCAGTTAAACATGAACTTCGGTGTTGATGCTAACGCTTCACAAAGAATAATGTGGTACAATCTGCGGCTAACTGCTTTTTCCACTGATTAAGGTTCCACAGTAAGAAGCAGGAACAAGCCAAACAAACATTTCTCCTCAAGTGTCTGTGGTTGGACTGGCGAGTTGGTAGTAAATTCTTTGCCTTGAGTCACTCAAGCAGATTATCTACCTCAATTTTATTGTAGGCAGAATAACCCTTTAATTGCATCTTCAACCCCGTTTCAGAATAGCACTTTATGAGCTTGTTTCCACAAAATAACCCACCTCGCATGAGGTCGGAAGGGGAATGGGAATAAAGCTCACAAACCACGACTGGTTTAATGAGTGAGAGACGAGTAAACATGATGTACACAATCATCTTCTTTAACGCGGTATGGGGGAGTGGGTAAATAAATAAATGCATGCAACCACACACGCAGGATAACATGTATTTTGGATGTTGTGTCGGTGCAGAGGGAAAACTCAGGATTCAGCCAGTAACCTCAGAATTATCTCACAAGACCCTGGAGGACACTGGTATGTGGATGCCATGTATTAACCCCAAGCTAATTAACTGTCCCAAGAGTGAAGAGAAATGCACACACGCCTGCCTGTCCCTTGATTTCCCGTAGACTCCCGGGAGGACGTGTTTCCTTCCTGAAGTTGTCGTGTTTGGACTGTCTTGATGTTTACAGCAGTCAGTGTGACCTTTATTCGTGGAGTCTGTCCTGCCTTTACTTTGAAAAACAATGCATCAGTACATCCATACTAAAGAAACACTGTTTTCAAACTAAAAGGATCTCTGTCCACAGGAGTGTTTTGGCTCCATATGAGTTTTAATCCTTGTTCATACTAACACACCTGAAAATGTATATCTTGTGACTACTCACGTTCACTGAGCATTCGCTGCTGGTGTAAACAGGAAGGCATGCTAGACCACAAACGTGAAGCAGCAATGGCAAAAAGATAAATGTTGAATTTAGTTGCACATCAGCTGTTGGCAAAGACAACAGGGCCAGCAATGTTTGTAACTGATTATTCATATTGCTTTCTACACTGGTAGTCGAAGCTAATGTCGATTGTTTTCTCCCGGAGCGGGGGCATGTGATAGGAGCCTGATGAATCAGTGAAGGCTATGTTGTGACCGTAAAGACCCAATCAGCGAATAGTTGTGAGTCTCTGTCATCATTTCCAAACATCTCAGTTTCTGCCTGTTACAGACTAAAACGCTGTGCCGAAGTTTTCAAACTAAAACGGAGCCAGCAGTGTTTCCAAACATCTCTGTTTTAGCAGCTTTAAAACTCTGGAGTAGTGTGTACGCCCGGCGTAACCATAGCAGCTTTTCAAATGAAAACGTAGTAGTGTGGATGTAGCCTCAGATTCAGTTGTAGAGTACTGTGTTAGTAGCTGTGTAAACATTGTCCGTCAGACGAAACGTTTTCACGTTTTCTTATTTCTCTCTGCTGGGATGCACTCTCACACACACAGCGCCTGTGTAAGGCGTGTCTTTGTTCCCAGGGGAAAATGCCCTGAATGTATATACATAAATTTCCACTCATCTGCCAAACATTAAAGAGGGTTTCACATTATAGAATTATCGAACGCGTTCACATCAGCCCTCTACTGTCTGCTTTTTTCTGAATCTGACTGCCAGCGGGCCCCTTCAGCTGGAATGTGATCTATAAGGCTCTCTGAGAAGTCTCACAGTCGCAGGCTTGAAGGCCTTTGAGTGATTCACCTGCATTACTGTGACAATGGAGGACAAAAGCATCATTGTGGAAACTAGTAATCTGATACTAGAGGAAATATCAAAATAAATAGATAAAAAGATAGACAGATGTTACAGTCCAAATGAAATTCAACAGTAGCACACAATAATATAAATATTACATTCTGCTCCTGGTAGCAGAAAATGTGGTAAAGTGCAATTTCTGTGGATTTTTTTCCCTCTTTTAGAAAAACTATTTTGAATGAGCCATATACTTTCTGTGAATGCCATTGTTAGTGAAAAGCCCACACGAGTGAAGAGAAGCTTTTTTACTGCAGCCCTAGCCTTCGACTTTGTGCAACATGGAGGTTACTTACAGGTAATTGCTTCCACCTTGGGCTGAGACTGAAGCTTCTGAAAGACAAACCCAGCGAATGAAGGTCAATACAGGAACTCCTTTGCCAAACCTCAACAATAGTCTTAAATTACACTCTGTGATGCTGCGACTTCAGATTAGATCTAGCTCCGCCGCTCCAAGAAACTGCTGCAGTTCTTTAGGACAAATGAAAGAGCACTTTAAACCCTCAAAGCTCACGTTGAGATTCAAACATTCAGACCACTGTGGGATTCCGTTACATTTCAAATAACAGAGTATGGAATCGTATTGTCTTTGCAAGTTTGGATTTGAACTCTTGAGAACTTAAAAATAGTCCAGACAGACGGACTGAGACAGACGGACTGAGACAGATGGACAGATTGTTAACCATATAAAAACCTGCATGATTCATTTATTGTGATGCCAGTCTCACATGAATGGAAACCGACCTGTTAATGATTTAAACAGATGTGATGTAACTCGGACGTAAAGCCGCATTAATGATGGTATTCATTTATTTTGATTTTTTGTGCTACTCAGGAGCTTAACAAGGCTGTTAACACAATATTCACATATCATCACCTTATGAGCAAACAGTGGCCCAGATTCAGGAGTCAAGATGTTTATTATAGCATTGTTTATAAAACACAAGCAAGTGACATTAAACAAATAATTAGGTAATTAAGTAAGTAATACATAAGAAGAAACAATAAAGATAGACCTTAGTAATTAATAATACAATGAAATGTAATGATATACAATTAGTAACCCTAACCCTCTGCCTTATGAAACCACATTTAATTTCACTAGATCTGGATTTTTAAATTTTTTTAAAAGTTTGGGGAAACTGCATCTTGGGTGAGTTTGTCGCTTTGTGAGTAATTTCACTTTACACACAGTCACTCGTCTGTCTTTGATGTGAAAATATTGATCAGTGCTTGAATCTGATGCAATCTTAAGTTTCTCTTGAGTTTGCAGAATTTGAGAAGAGAACTTTTTCCACGTATTTATGATCTTTATTTAGACGTCAGATTATCTTCAGTGGAGGTGAATGCCCTTGAGTTGCCCGTTATGTTCGACAGTTCTGAGTCATGTTCAAAGTAAGATTCTTTATGTCCGTCTGTCTCGCCGCCTCCTGGCTGCTGCGATGCCTGTGAGACGTGGCTGTTTTCCACACTCTTCCATCCCAGCCCACCACCACAGCTCCAGCTCTTTCTTCCCCACCTCTGAAGTTCTCTTCTGGGGAGTGTTTAAAAAGGCAGCCCCCTCTTGTTAAGCCTGAATGCCCCCTCCTCCCCTTTCTTACTTTCTCTCTCTCTCTTTTAATGCCAGTTTTCATTCTTAAATCCCCCCTCCCTTTTTATAAGGTCGCTGCAGGCCTTTGCCTTGGCCCGGCTCCAAGACAGTTGCTAAGTAAATCACTCAGCCAGCAGGGCGAGTAAGGAAAGCAAAGAATTCCACACAATCTCCAGTCTTTCATGCCTGCACTTCCCCTCTCTTTCTCCCCTGCTTCTCATCTCCCCCCTCTCCCCTTATCTGTGCAGCTCACCTTCTCATGTATTTTACCTTGAGTTAAAAAAAGAGAGTAGTAAAGCTTGAAAGCACAGATTGGCTCTTTCTGAAGTGAAGGAGAGGATAAACATTTAGCAAGATGGTCCCTGTGCGCACGCATATGCTTGAGATAGGAGTCGGGGGTCTGTCCGCCATGTGTTGGGCCGCCTGCTTTGCCGCGGCTTTAAGAAATGCTATCTGATCCACGTTTTTCCACACATTCTCGTTTGTTGAGAGGGGAAAACAACCAAGACAATCCGATCCAGATAGACTTGAGCTCCATTAAACTTTTTTTTCTGTCTGCCTTTGACTAATGCAGATTTTTACCCAGACTCATTATACCCCCCCAAATAATTACTGCTGAAGCTAATTCTTGCCCACTCATGCGTGGAGTAATTGGTGTGTAAACTAAATAAATAGTGGGTGAGAGGGCTTCTAAATATAGAACCATAGTCTCAACTTTGTTTGCAGCCCGAACAACTTGGTTCTGGCAGTTGCCCCACCAACACAACCCCCCTTCCCCTCATTCTGGGCCACAGCCGCCCCATGTGGGATCATTTAAAGATCTCCCAGGTCATCCCGTGATGGTGCACAGGAAAAGAGGGGAGGGGGTGAAAGCAGCATTAAACTCAACTCTTTCCTGCAGGTGGTGATGGCCCCACATGAACCACCAGTGGTATTTGTTGACAACTACATCAAGCTCCTGGCTGATGGCAACCCAGAGACCTTCCAGAAGATTCTGGACATGAAGGTGAGTGGGTTTGAAGAGTGGTTTAAAGGAATAGTTCAGAATTTAAAGAGATGTGCTCATTTGCTTTCCTGCTGAGGGTTGCATGAGAAGATACCTCTTATATCTACATCTACATGAAGGCGTATTTTTGTAGTGACTTTAGAGCTGCTGCTTCATAGATTTTGTTCCCTTTGCACAGAGGGTATCTGTTCCCCTCAGATTCCTGTCTTTAAGTCAAGCAAAGCTAACAAGCAGCTGGCTCCAGCTTCATATTAAACATTCAGGTGTAAGGGTGGTATTGAACTTCTCATGCAAGAAAACAAATACATGTACCTCCCAACATCTCAAACTATCGTTTTAATATTGTTGCTTTGCATCTTCCCTCATGTTTTCCCATATTTCCCATGTGTTATTTAACCTGTCATTGTGAAGCAGAACAAGAGACACGCTTACATGGACCTCCACCTTATTCTGATATTAACCTGAGTAGTCTGAGTAAGACACTGTCATGTAAACAGAATTTGTTGATGACCTTAACCTGAATAAGGTCATAAATCTTTAAAAACCACAACCTGAAATAGTAACGTGTACGATGCTACTGTTGTTACCATTTGAGTGTTTTCTTTCTAACTTTGCATCCAGGACATTCTTCATCAAGCAGTTGGTAACCGTATGTTGATGTTTCTAAATGCTGTGAAAACTCCAACAGGACGTTATATTACAATTAAGAAGTATAATGAGACTTATTCGAGTTAGATTATATTGCTGTCCATATTGTGGTCAGTTTTATTTTGTCACTGAGAGAAATTTTTTTCTTAATGCTTTTGATATTTCCCCTGTGTTTGTGTGTGTAGGGTCTGAAGCGCAGTGAGCAGAGCAGCATGCTAGAGCTGTTCAGGCAGAGGTTACCCACCCCACCTTCCGGGGCAGACGGAGGCCCCACTCTGTCCTTCAGTGCCCCCACCCCTGAGCAGGAGTCGTCCCGCATCCGTAAACTGGAGAAACTCATCAAGAAGAGACTGTGAACAGACACATTGATAATAGAAGAGGCTGCAGGATGAGACCTCCTGCACTCTTAACGCTCCATTCAGTCACCATGGAGAATTTAAGAGAGAGCCAAAATGGGACTGACTTTTCTGACTGACAGTGATGTGAATCTGAGCTGAGGCTGGATTATGAAGAAACTGCTACTTGTTGCTACAGCTGTCATTTTACTTCTGTAACTTCCTCTTTTTTCTCATGTCACTAATGCCTGAGCTTTGTAACATTCGTACATTGTTACACAGACTGAATGTAGTGCTGTTAACTGGAGTCAGCTCAGAGAGCCGCTGGCTGCCTCTCTGGTACACGTCTAATCCCTGATGATCAGCAGCAGCCTGATCATAATTAAAGTTGATGTTCTCTGAATATAATATTCTTCAAGGATAACTATGGCTTTACTCAATCATTTTTAATTTAAAGGGGGGGTACTGGGGGTTGACATTTGTGCGCATCTCTGCCATTCATTAAAGGGGACATACGTCATAGGTGTCGGGACTGTTTGTGTGAGCGGCGACCTAAAACAAATCACTGAGTGTGGAACAAAGAGGATCTTTGGATTTCCTGCATCTTCGTTGAGCCATCTTTGTCTTGGCATTTAAAATCTCTCGTGGTTGACTTGGAAACCATCTAACTGAAGACTTTTGGCTTGGGCCTTTGCCTGGAACGGGGGGCAATTAATGGGGTATATACTGTCTATGTAAACATGAAGTACACGTGTGCGGTCGCTGCTGTGTTATTATAGTCCAAAAATCTTCAATAATTTAATCCTCTGTCTCTTTTTGCATTGACATAAAAGCTTGTGTTTGTTTAAGCAGGAGTCTTATTTATTCTTCCATTTGGCTGCACTGTACTTTCAGGCCAAATTACTTAAGGTTTGGAAAATATTATTTTTGTCATAAAAGAGACAAAACAAGCTGGGTTTGTGTCTACAGTGTGCTGAGTACTCTGGGTCTCTGAAGCCTCGTGTGATGTCACAGCCTGTGGAGGAAAATCAAAACATCTCTGCAGTCCGGTTTCCATGGTCGCTGATGTAGATGCAAGGGCCCCTCAGTGTCTTGAACCCTCATATATATATATTTATATATAACTCAAACTAAGGTACGATCACATTCCACTTGTTTTATCAGTTGTTAAATTGGCTCCCAGTTTGTTGAAGGATCTTTTTTTTATGTATTACTTTGCAGTAGGTTCATAATGACCTGGCCTCAGCCTATATCTTTTAATTCCCTATTACCTCTGAGCAGCTTGTGATCTTTGGGTGTAACTTCCTGAGTCTAGGCTGAAGGGGGGGTCAGAGTGATTCACCTGAGGAAATAAGACTGTCTGAGATGGTCTCGACTAAATGTGCACTTTCTCCACAAGGCATATTCCTGAATTTCCATAAGGTGCTGGACTATGGTTTTTTATCTCTATTGGTAAAATGATTTATGTGCTTCTTTCTGTATGTTCACCATTTGTTCTCTTGTTGTGTAGCACTGTGTGTTGAAAAGTGCTCTGTAAATAAAGTTACTATAAATAAGGTCTGAACTGTGCTACACTGGCCAAGCTGTTACAACACTGCCGAAGATTCCCTCTCATCTAAATTTCACACGCTACTTTAATTTGCATGCTTGTGCACAAATGCAGGAAAACACATGAACCTGTTTTTACCAGGGTTCAATCTCGGAAGTGTTCCCATGACTGGCCTCGTCTCTGGTTGCCACTTAGTCTTGCATCCAATCAGGATCCAGTGAAAGTTTGGGAAGGCGTTTCCTCTTTGTGTGTGTTTGTGTGTGTGTGTGCAGATGTGTTTGTGTGTGTGTGAACTGGAGGGGGCAGAGGTTTGAAGAGGAGCCGCGGGCAGACGGACTCATTCACACATACATCCCCTCTCTGGACCCTCTAATACACCAGATTTCCTCGTGCACGATCACCTGGAGCCGGAGTGTGTGATCATTGTGTTTTTAAAGCCAGAGTGATAATCGATCTTAAGCTTCTTGTTCTTAAGGGGTTGGAGGTTCCGGGGGACGGAGCGGTGTCTGATGGTGTCTCCTGCGGGAAGCCGTGCATGCAGCCCGGGTAGAAGTTAGAAGAAACGCCGCGGTGGAAAAAAACAAACAAACGGAACAAAATAACAGAAGGAAGTAAAATCTGGAAACTTCGCCTGTCGTCACCCGCTGGACTTTAGTAACCGTGTCCCGGAGATGGTCGGCAGGTTGAACTTGCCCCATGTGTGTGAGGCAGAGCCGCTGGATATGAGTTGCAGGTCGGAGAGAGGACTCGACAGCCCGGACTCAGGTTTGCCCCCGAGCCCGAGCCCCGGAGCCTGGCTGCTGCCTGTGTGCGCGGAGAAAGCCGGGGGAGTGAGCCCGGTGTCGGAGGACGAGGGACGCGGCTCCCTGGTAGGTAGACCCCCTCACCCCCTCTCTACATTACATTATACACTTCTTAACTTCTTAACTCGATTTCAAGCAAAACAACCACAAACCACTGCAGAACAATGGTTTTAAAACAGTTTATCACATGATAAAAAGTTTGAGTGCAGTCCCTCTAGTAAATTGCATTAGTTTACACGTTGCACACACTTCTTCCTGTGTGCAACTTGCCACCAATGCAATTTGAAACCCTGAAATGACTTGAAATCCCCAAAATTCAGACGATTTTAGTTGAGTAAACACAATATGTGTGAATGTTCTTTGTAAATAAGACTGAACAGTTGAATTTGCTGCAAGTTCTGGCCAAGTGAAGAAAAGTGGGTCACTGAGCCAAGCCAAAAAGAACCTGCAGGATTGACTCTGCATGTGTGAAGTGTGATTTTTCTTTTTCTTTGCATTGCAGGTTCCAGTTGAACCCACTGGATCTTTCCCACAGCTTCACCCGCTGTCTTTTGGAGAAGGCATAGCCCTCGATCCGTTACCACCAAAGGAAATAAGGTGTGTTAATGTTTACGTGACCTGTTCTGTGCAGGATTCGACCTGGTGGAGGTGTGCAGATGTCAGTCACAACATGTCACACTATGAGGACATGCAGGGGTTTGATATGTAATGGACCAAAGTGACTGACAACTATCATCTCGGTATGTGAGCAACAGACCTTGCATCATAGTGTGACGGATAACAGCCACAGGTTGCACTGACTTGTTTGACTTTATTCTGCACCAGATAAAACCAGAAGAGGACAAATGTCCACACACCAGTGGACGCTCCAACACACTTTTATGTCACCTTCATGGTAGGAAACATGTTCTTCAGATGAAACCAGGAGGTTAAAATCATTGATTTTGTTGGAGCATCAACTGGTGTGTGGACATTTCTTGTCTTCCAGCACTTAGTGTCTGTCGAGTTTGGATGTGTGTGCTTTTGTATCGTTACCAATAAAACCAAGAGGCTTCCCCTGTCCTCCTCCTCAGATACATCTCCTCTCTGCACTACAACTCGGACCGCCACTTCATCCAGGACGTGGCCCTGCAGCCGTCGGGCCAGGGCCTCGAACACTGCATGCAGACTATCATGGTGGTTCCCCAAAGCACCTGGCGCCACTACAAAACGCAGCTGGATTTCCAGCCTCGCCAGCGGCTGCAGAGCGTCAGGAGCACCACCATCATCTACCCCAAGAAAACCAGCACTGTTTACACCACGGAGCTGAGCTACGACTGCCACCGGCTGTCCAGACGCTTCCTCTCCAGTGTGGAGCTGGAGGCAGGCGGCCACAGAAAGATACCTCAGTGAGGTGGAGGGGTCGCTGGGGACACAAAGGTGGTCATTCCCATGGGCCCCTGTTCTGTGGTTCCCCTGAGGCTCGCTGACCTGCTGTGTTGTGTTTTTACAGATGTGGAGCTTGTTATCTTTTTAAAGTAGCTATGCCAAGCTGCGGACAGGAAGCATCTGTGCTGTTACAGATAGCAGAAGTGTTGTATGTATATGTGTATATCACTGCCAGTGAAAGAAACTACTCACTGGCAACAAGCGCTTCAGTTTTTAACTCACAGCTTCCAGGGGCATGATCGTTTTTGAATTATTGGCTGTAGAAGTAACTTGAGCTGTTTTCAGATGTGAACTGAGAGTGTCTGCAGAATTGGGTCTGGACTTTTTCTGGAGTTTGCAGGAGATTCTCCGCTCAGACCCGTTCACAACAATGCAGAAATCTCCAGAGCGTCCGGGTGAGGGGTGGTGCAGAGGCAGGATGTAACATACTAATTCTGCTGCAGTGTTTTTGTTTGGCATCATCGTCTGTGTCTTCTGTGTTTATGACACTGTTTCATCCCTAGATATTTGTTTTCTTTTTTTTTTAAATCATTTTTGCGTCTGTTAGAAATGTCATCAACACATCCACTAGCTCGTGGTGCATCCTGCGGAGGATCTCCTGCTGTTTGCTCACATCGGCGCCTTTGGACATCCTGTTGACTGTTTACTAGGGGGCTGGCTGGACAATCGCAAACACTCAGCCCCTCCTGGGAAAGTCCGTAAGTTCTCTGGAGTTCAGTTCAGGTCTGAAAGCAGCTTTGTATGGGCTGAGTAAGGACGTCACTTACTTGACCTCAGAAAATCACTTTTCATGCAGAGTGATTCATTTTAAATTGGAACAACAGAGCCTGTTTCACTTCATAGAATCTGTTTAATTAATCTAAGAGGGAAGAGTATCTTTTTAACTTAGGGAGCGACGAGTGTGTACAGGAGAGAGAAAGTGAATAAATGTGTTGCTGGAGTTTGGATGATTGCTCAGAAGTCACTAACTTATCCACACTGTACAGAGGAAGTGGTGAAATTAACTTTACGCACGTGTGTTGTGTTTCCTCACAGGGTATTGTGTGTGTGTGTGTGTGTGTTTCTGCACAACGTAGCACAAGCTGAGCTCTTCCCAAGCTTTTTCTCCAGCCACTGTTTACGGCTGCGATTTGTAATGTATGATGTAAATGTTGCTCGATCAAGGGAATTTATCTGTTCATATTGTGACGTGCAAGCTCAAATTGATTAAGTACGTAGTGTTGATGAACTGTGGATCATATTTTTGATATCGCTCACTGTCACTATTGAGAGTAACAAGCTGCATTCCACTGCTATCACTTTCTTTTTAACTCAACTTGGATTGAAATTGTATTTATTCTGTTCTAGGATCTGAGATTTTTATCAGCTGATAAACGGGACTGTGTTGACGCTTCTTTCTTGATATTCGTCACTTACTCAGTTTGAAATAAAGTGTTCATTAGTTCATCAACCGTCTCTGAGTTGGTATTTTTATCCTTTTTTAAAAGGCAATGGCAGAATTTAAAGTAATAAACGCAATAACAAACCTTGAACATGTGAATGGAGTGTATATATTCTGAAAATGGGTGATTAAGAGATTTGATATTCTTCCCTCTGCACAAAAGAGCTCCTCACACTCTTCAGGTTATATCTATAAACCTCAGCTAATCCCACTGAAGCATCCTGGATACAAAGCTGTAGCAACAAACTGTTTGTGTAGTAAAATATGTGCTTGTATTTTGGGTGAACTGTCCCTTTAAAATTCAACACGTAAAGATGTTTTCAAGAAAGTCTGTTGCTCTACTACCCTCTTGTGGGGCAAGGAGAGAAGAGCTGTCTCTGTTTGATTTCAGAGGATCAAGTTTGATCCTTTAAATCAAAATTCCAACAAAATAGATCTTAATTTAAATTATTATTATAAGATTTTCTATTGACTTGACTTGTGCACAGTGGAGAACCTGGAAGACAGTGGTAGCTAACATAACATGCAACTCCTGTTAGTTACAAAATTATGCAATTGTTTTCACTGTCATTTACTAAAGTGGCAAATAAAACATGAGAACATCTGAGCATGAAGTTTGTATAATTGCCTTTTTATTTATTTCACAAATTACAATGAACTCATAAGTGGGAATGTAAGAAGTGAGTGTAGCATCAAGGCCCCTTCCATTAATTGAATGTCTCTGGAGCATTTATGTGATAGAGGTGGTTTCTTCCAAAGATGCTTCACCACTGTCAGTCCTGACCAGATGTGAGCAGAGAAACAGGAGGTTTTGAGTTACATCTTGAACCTTTGCCTCAATATATTTCACCTTGTGTCTTTTCATTACACATAAACTGACCCAGGTCATTGCATTTTTTTTTTACTTTTCAGCAAGTTATTCTAAATCCGAATGCAGTTATTTTATATAATTGTGCATACTCTTTCATTTTTTTCCTTCAAAATGGGAAATATCCCCGGGACCCTTTCCTGTGTGGCCCTGAGAATAAAGAAGTGTCTTGTAAATATATAAGACAGGTATTAAAATAGTGTCACCATGTCAACACAGAATACTACAGAGCCCCTGAAGTCCTAAAAGATTTTTTAATCTTGTTTATCTTTTATCTTGGGACTTCAGGGGCTCCGTAGAATACCAGTATATCTGCAAACTTTTAACTTGGAGAACCACATTGCTTTAGTGACTCTGAAGTTGGAGAGCTGTCCTTGCCTATAGGACGTGAACGCAGCATTTCCTGAATGGCTGTGACGTAACAATCACTACGACATCCAACTTTTT